CTTCATAGAAACCCACTCCACTCAGGTCAGGTGTTGCGACTCATGGTCGAAACCATACGAGTTTGTGAGATCGAAGTGCTTATGACTGATATCCAAGTGAGAAACCGCGAGCGGGTAGAAAACGACACCGCTTGGCTTGTTGCATTACACCTTTGCACCTACATTTTCACTACGTTATTTGGAAAGATGTTGTTTCAGGCGTTTTCGTCACTAACCATGCGACCAAAGAAAACGCGCACTCCATTATTTCACTTCAATCCTCTGGATGAACTATCAAATACCGAAGATTTCCTCGATTTTGATGAGAACACATCGTCAAAGGACGAAAACGAAGACTTCAGCATTGAGGACCTGTTCAACGATTTGAAAATGCACGAAGAAGCGTTCCCGACCGCAAAAAGGTAGGAGTTGTCGTGAGAGTCATTCAAACACGGTGTTGTCACGGGCGGGGTCAACAGTCCCTTCTGCCTATTAGAAATTTTTGACAAATACCCCTACTTGATTGTCTTGACCCGGCTTTCCCCACCACCACAACCAGCCTTGGAGGGGTATCGGATATAATCCTCTTCCTGTATAACCGCATCACACCACCCTTCAGACTGTTTCCAAACACAACATCTGATTCTGGTACCAGATGACACACCTCACTCCACCCCCTCCGGAATGGTTGTGGCGGGGGAGGGGAAGAAGTATAGATGTAGTTGTTGAAGCGCAATGCTCTCACTTCGTCCATCTCATGAATTTTTCGTGAAATTGTGAAGACAATCGTCAGAAACGACTTCTTATCCCTTTCCAGTGTAGAAACACGAACTCTCAAAGCTTCACCACCACGACCCTTTCTACAGTCCTCCCACTAAGCCTAATAAAATCCCAAATCCGACATTTCCCGGTGACTTGGTCCAGCGGACGGTTGACACTGCCCGTTAAGCTTCCACGGCGGAAGGTGGAAGCTTACCCGAGTAGGTTCCGGCTCCGTTAGAGAATGAGGCAAATCTGATACACAAGGAGTGTAAATTTCCACCAGCATTGCGTGGTCCATGCTATAGTATTCCCATCACGAAATCTTCACTTCTTTGATTTTTTTCCTTCTCAAAAGTTTGGAATGAGTTATGAAATGAGCATTGCACATGTCTGCGTTGAAAAAGTAGTGAGAAAAATTCCACAAGAACTGAACATTTTTTTCCAGTATTTCTTCTCTTCCGTCAACAATTCGACGTAAGCAGATCGTTATCAAAGAGCCGGACGATTCCAGCAAAATCTATTTCGACTACAGATCTAAGAAACGGAAACCACTGCCATTCAGAAGCGGCAGCTGTACACCAAGGTGATTCACAGTAATACGGTAGTTTAGCGATCACGGCGAATCGATACTAATGGTAAAGGTCAGATGAACGAATGGGGGAAGGGATGGGCAAGTTATGTTCTGGAAAAATATCATTGTACTTAATCATCAAATTTCAATACACCATACTCACCATTCAACTCTTCGAAATACGGTACATATTCTAAATGGGTTCAATGTTTCCTCATGTCTGGCCACTTTTGGTGTACCCACTCACTTTTGCGCTTGCAGCGCCCCTTCTCCGTGTAAATGACATTTCTGATTTTTCAAACAAATGGCTTGTCAACCTGGTACTTTCGGCGGCAGTATCGAAGCTTCAGCTCTCAGAGGTGCAAACATGAGCCCACGCTCTCGATCACTCGGCTGTCATAGCCTACCGGAACGATCTCAGCAGTAAACCGTTCTCTCCTAACATAACCGGGCAAAGAAGGGTCTTGGTCCTATCGTTTTCTTGTCACAGGCGCACCATTTAGCACCTTACTTCCACACTTCAACGATACCAGCTTTGTCATGAAGCGATGTTCATGATGTCACTCAAGTCCCGCCCCAAAGGATAAGAGGGAGCGCGGAAGGCAGCGTCGGGTTCAGCGACGGTGGGGAATCTGCTCTCGCGAGGCGGAAGGCTCCCAAAGCCCGCCCGCTGGCAGCGACTACCCACCAATTTCGTCATCAAACCCTAGCCGTACGGCCCAGAGGGTTGGAGTCCTTTGTCCCGTGCTCTGGAGAGGAAACCGGGCAAAATAGGACGGCGAACTCGCTTGGAACGTAGTCCCTTCAAGATTCAAGAAATTCAAAGCCTCACGCGGCAAAACTTAAATTTCAAGCTCCAAATTCAAATCCCATCTTAAACCCATGATATGTAATGTTATTGTGATTTTGGCTCACTGGTACGATTATAGAGTTCATAATAAACGAGATTCGCTGAGATAGTCTTTGCAAGAGAACCACCAAATCTTACATTTGACAGAGATGCTCCAAAACAAGCTTGTCACCAGAGCTGCCTCTAGCGTCTTAACATTGGCTAATTTTTTCTAGCAGCGAGAGAGAGCAGTTCTAAAGACGCACCCTGTGGGACAGCGTGACCAGCTTGCGAGCCACGCTGTCCCACAGGGTGCGTCTTTAGAACTCGAAACTGGAACGAACTAATAAGTAAGTTACTTAGTCCGTACACCAGAAGCATACAGAAAAGTATGGTGCGCAATATGACTCGGCGTGAGCCATCATATACATGTGCAAATTTCTTTGGTAGCTTTAGGATTAGTGACTGTTACTAGCGTCAGAGGCCTGTATCGCGAAAAATCTTTGTGCTTCTACATATCTTTATCGTTACTAACAGAAAGTCATTCACAAAACTTGAAGATGTGACGTTTTTGCGGTTAGGCTCAGCGGAACAAGGGCGCTAGAGCCTGTCACTATAGGCTGCTCCTGTCGCCCCTCCGTTGACTCGTGCACCGTCCTGAAATAAGTTTCATTTGTTTCCCTTCTTCAGGGACGGCTCACCTCGCACTTTGCTCTCAAATCATCATCTCTAGGTCTTAGAAATCACAGATGTGCTAGGCAACCTTTGAGCATGCCCTCCAATCTTCATTTCTCAAAAAAAAATCCGTTATATTTATGAGGCCGTTCTTCCTATATGATGTGTTTTGTTCAAAGGCATATTGCGCGATTGAATATTTGTGGCAAAATGAGGGAATATTGGTTGGCAATAACAGTAATCGAGTGGAGCAAAAAACTGCTAAGCAGTCTTGCGGGCTGATTCTATAGATGAGGTTTGCGTTGCTTCCACTAGACTCGGTTGATTAAAGACAGAATTAACGATGGAAGGTTAGCTTGTTGGAACTAATGGTGGAGTGGAGCTGTTTCAGTTGAAGCAAAGATAAAGACGAAACCATTGAAGTGGGCCGGAACCTGAGAACTAGGACTATTTCCATGCTCGTTGATTTACGCATTTATGTGACTCTCATGCTGTGACCATCACAAACGTAGCGCTCTTCTCTCTAACTGCCTAATCTCGCTACAGTAAATCCAGGTGCCAAAAATATTCGCCAAATCTTCAAACATTTTCCCATTGAAAGTATGATCGTCATTTTTATTGGCCGTTGCTAAGTAGTTGGCAAGGTAGGTTTCTCTGTAACTGCTAATCGTATTGGTGAAACTGCTTCAATGTTCTCTGAGATGCGCGAGGTAATCAACGTGACGCGACCATTCGCAGTGCCGAGCAAGAGACGCGTCTATCTTAGCTTGTTTTAACTTCTGGTGTTCCCGTGAACCAGTAACTGGCATACAAACGATGGACAGGGCAATTAAGAACACTCATTCACAGACTTCTCGTACATATTGACAGAAGGTTATCGTTTTCAGAAATAGATCAACGAAATGTTTCTTGCATCCATCGTGTGACTGCTGTTTGGTGGGGTGAGTGTGGCTTCATCAGAAGGATGAAGAGACCGCTGAATTTTGAAGTCTCGATGGGTGCATAGTATGGAGAAGCAGCACAAAACTCCCTCATGCAGAGGTGTGATTCATTTATGTTAAGCAACAAACAGCATAGAGCGAAAGATTATAAGTTACGAGCTGCCTCATGGAACGCAACCTCCTGATCGTTTTTCTAGACCGAAAAATATTGCTGTGAGCCGTTGTTGACGTAGCAAGAGAATATCATTCTAAATTCAGGAAATATCTTTGGAGTGTCATTACTCACGAGGAAAATATTGCGGACGCTAACTCGCATCATGGATTGAACTGGGTGATCTCGCCTAATTGTATCCCAGTTGAAATTTGCCGATTTTATGTGAAGTCAGGCAAGCGAGGCACTATTATGAGCACTAATGGAAACATGGCAGCCACTTCGGGCAAAAACGTTTTTCTACATACATGCTTACGTCTATGGCCAGCTCATTCAGAGTCGATCGAGCTGCGAAACTGCAACAACTCTCGTTCGCCGCGAAAAATGCCTTACTCTCGTCCTAGCCATAATACTGGAACTTCAGTCTGGCCATTCGATAGATCAAAGGCATGTCGAACTCGTGTCATTGGGTCTCAAACCATTGCAGCCTGTCATCAAAGGAGCCTGGAAAACAAGATTGCATAAGGACAACTGAGAACGTGCGAATGTTGAAGAAGAGTACTCTGGCCTGACTGTTGCAGAGTGAGTACATTCTTAAAATCTATGTTGCTGTCTAGTAGTGATATGTTATATGATTATTTTTCTTTAGCATTCTGTTCGCAACGTTCAAAGCATTGCAATAAATAGGCGATCAAGTAATTTATGGACCCCTGAATATACTGGGTGGTGACTATGACAAGAGGAGCATGCTAGATCGCAGAGTCAATTCTTTCGCTGCCGCTGCGTTGCGCTCGCATTCCACATAGTCTGCCTGTCTCCCCCCCCCCAAAAACGCAAATAAATCGCAATTTTCTCCTTCCTTGACTTTCGTTCTTGTAGTGAATTCTTCCTTTGGTTGAAGAAAAGGGGTCTTTGTTAAACGCTTCATCGGCGTTTTTCCTTTTGTCTTTTTTCAGTCAACGCCGCATCTCACTTCGTTGTCGAGCGGTTTTACCGCAGCAACTTGATCCTAGGTTGTTGCTTCAATCATTTACAGGCTCGAAGTTTTGCGTTTGTTTAAGACGAGCTTATACTCTGCACCCCCCTTTTCAGTCTATTTTATTATTGTCATTGCCCCTTTTCCATTTTCAGATTTCCTCCGTATTGACCTAAATATTACTAGAGAATAGCTGAACCTTTCACCACGTGAGGACATTTCGCTATGAAGAGACCTTGAGATCGTCAACCAGTCGCCGAGGCCAAATGGCGTCCGACAAAAAGTGACCCGTCGCTTCTCTTCACTTAGTCTATTACTTGTTTTTCAGCTATTCCTGATTTGACACAAATCATCATCTCCTTATTTCTTTAGCTCTTTACCTGACGGGTTTCTAAACGCGCCAACGTTTTAAGGTCAACGAACGCGTAAAGGTAGCGCTAACGCAGGCAGCTGTACTTTCGATCAAGCGAAAAGGAAAGAAGTAGTGGAATGGATTGCGATTAGGGACCAATACTCAGAAAGGTCTAATTTGAAATCAGCTATGCTTTTTTGGGCGTTGGGAGGGGGTGAGGGCGGACATTCAGAACAGGTCGATGGTTGATGAAACTAGGATTGAGCGCCCAGAAAAGGGGAGGAAAGGCTAGGGAGAACACTGCTTATTCCCTCCCTCAGAGTCCTTGTCTCCACCTAGAGCCTTAGAGCCGAGCTACTAGGTGCTCACTCAGCGTTAGTGACTGTCATGCTCCTCCCCCCCCCCCCAACGACATAAGTGCCTTTTTTTGTACACACAAAGGAGAATGCCTTATCCTAGTATCGTTCACTGGAACTTTTGCGCAAAGTTCTCCTGTGAACTCCCTCTGAACTCCTTCTGAGGTTACCCGTTGGTGCCGCGAAACGCCGCCTTTTACATACCACGCTGGATCGGATCTCTCCTCGACCGATCAAACCACATATCCATTATTCTCGAATTAGTAGCACAACTCTGTGATAGTTAATGCTTCATTCACTCCGAAAAATTCAGGACATAAGGAAAGCGCTTCCAAAAAACGCTATGGTTGTGAGTGAAGCTCAAATCATGGCGCACTATTTGATTATATGACGCCTAATTTCTTTATTGCAGATCCATATTGAAAAAGGAACCATCTCTATGCCATACTCATCTTTACGAAGAGGTTGAAGGCGATCATCTTTCACCACTACCGGACGATGTTCGACCTCAGGCACGTGTGTGGTCAATTTATTGCACAACTAGCTGTCTCTTATCACTGACGAGGGAGGTCTTTCAGGTGGACCCGCGCTTTCTCAAAACGGTTTTTTGCATGATGTAGAGGGATGTGTATGGAGTACAGAACTGTGGTCCATTTCCGCTGAATGGCCCTCTGAATGCCAAAAAAGGAGTGAAAGTAATTTCGTCGGATACTGCAGTTTTTACACACTCACCGTGGTGTGTTTCATTCATGGCGTGTACTGCTTGCATAGTGAAGGGTGCTCGCGTGCTGTGTATCGAAAACAACGTGAAGTCTAGCCGAAATTGGAAATTTGTCGTAGTGATGTCATGCTATGTACTAAAGAGCTTGTAGAGAAGTTTCACTGGAGCATTCAGCTACTCACATATCGGAAACGTCGGTGGTGTAGCGGTTAGCGATGCGGACTTCAAATAGCACGCTTGGTCGGGGTTGTTGGTTCGGATCCTCGAGGCGGCGAAATTTTTGCATTTTCTGTTGGCACTTCCAGAATGGCACCAAATTGCCCTAATGTCAAAATAGATGTCTTATTCTAGGCCAGAGCCATTAATAACCACAACGAGGTAAGTTTTCACCGAAATCAGCAAAAAAGCTGTAACGTCGAAATGGCGCCAGAGAGCGGCGGCTCCGAAAAACAATGCCATATTCGTGACCAGAGCACTGAATTGCCTTTCATACCCGAAGTTTTGAGTAAAATCGCATCTCTGACCAAAATTCGAAAATTTGCACCAAACACAAGTAAACTCTTCACATATTCCCAGTCGCTTGAAGGCGTGCTTCACGCGGAAAAACTAGCAGGAAACTACTGCATTTTGTGTGGCCCCGCAACCCCCCCCCCTCGACCACCATCAGCTTGCATGTCTGCTGTTGTCTCTTCGGTAGGAACATTTCATTTCTTGAGGGATTTAGAAGAGGTTATTTCCAAGAGGTTCGTCGTCGAGCTTGACGTGCTACACATATGTACGAGTGCTCATGGAGCAATTTTTCGAAGTTGGTCAAATTCTTGATTTTCTTGGAAACTTTGACTACAAGGGTTATCAAGTGTCCTGATTATGAATATGACATTCGTTTTTGGCTTCGACATCGTTTCGGACCCCTATGACGCTGTTCGACGGCACGTTGGTGCCGTTTCTACGTCACAACTTTCTCTCACTAGTTTTTGGTTTACGCCAACTTATAAGGGTTTTTGGTTAGCTTAATTATGAATGTGACATCAATTTCTGGTGTTTACGTCATTTGATGCCAAATTTTTGGCGTCACAATGCAAAAATTTTGTCACCGCGGGGAATTGAACCAAGGACCATTTCCCCACTCCTTTTTTGGCATTCAGAGGGCCGCTCAGCGGAAACGGACTACAGTTCTGTACTCCATGCACATCCCCCTACATCGCAAAAAACCGTTTTGAGAGAGCGTGGGTCCACCTGAAAGACCTCCCCTTGTGAGGGGCGCTTAAAGGCAGCGATTACGGAAAATTCAAGAAGGGATAAGTGTGACGTGGTTGTGCTCAGCGGTACGGCAGTGGGCAAAAAAGCAGAAAAATCCGTCAAAAAAGGCAAAACGGGACCCCCTTTTTTGGCCGTTGCTTTTCACTCATGGAGAATTAACAGAAAGTGGAGTTATGAACGAGTTGTGATGGCACCACTGCCGAATCACGCTTCAATCGAGATGCTCCATTTGCGCCGCTGCTGGCCACGCAGCTCGTCCAAATCAACAAGTAAACTAGTGGGCGGATCGCTTTTGGGGCGGAGCTTTCGAAGTCCTGCTCAGCAACCAGCGCACCTTTCGTTGTGAAAGCGCCACACCTCGCTTCCTTGGCAGCCAAGTAACTGCTTCGTGTGGTGCATATGCTTCCCCGATGCGCTCCCTCTTTATCGTAATCGCTTCCTTTAAGGGAAATGTTTACTTATTTTCACTAGAAGGAAACACTATGACTTCATTTTACAAACCAGTAATTTCGATCGTTTTGACGAGACACAAGTATGAATGGAGGGCGGAATGATGTTGTGAGAAGACCGATCGGGGTCAACTATCTGATGAAAGACTCGTGGAAGGATTAAACCCGTGAATTGCCTGGCCCTCCCAAGTCGTTTTGCAGGCCAAATTGCGTTCAACTACTAATTCCGATTCCAAAAGTCTAAGGCGTCTAGAAAGGGGAAATCGATCGTGTCTAGATGCCCCTGCAAATTTTAAGCTGATAGAATCTCACAAAATCAGCTTTTTTTCAGCCGCCATCTCGACCACAGATTCAACCAATGCGGCTTTTCCCACCATGTAATGAGTTTCAGCCAAGGCGGATCAGCAGGTGATAAGATTTACTGCTCTCAAATGTCATGCATCGTCCAAAACGGAGCAGAATACGTGAAGCAGGCGTTCTAGCACTCTAAATTAACACATAATTACTAGAACTTGCAAAACATCGCACGATTGTTTAGGCTTCCGCCGGTGAAACGACGACAAAAGCTGCCAAGTCTTCACCACACAGACAGTCGATCTTGCCTACTGTCCTGGCCAAGTCGTCTACGACAGAAAATTTTCCACGAAGATGACCGTTGAAAAATTGGGCATTGAAGGGTATGTAGCAATAGGTCACCATGCGACGTCGCGCATCTTTTGTACCACTTGCGCGGCGATCGATCTGAAGGGTGCACCTTGCCATGAAAATACTGTGATGCGAACTCGACGAGATAGCACAAGCCTGGATGACAGTGGAAAGATGAAGGCGCTAAAAAAGATAGCCGGAGCACGATCGAATATGCGCAATGTCGTTGGCAGGTGACCTTTTGCTACACACTCGGCCTTATGAAACGACCACAACACGATCTCTTCACAACATCGGCAGCTTAAACAGCTAATGATGGAAAGGAATCTTTCTTCCGCATTTGTTACCGTATCCGTACTTGTTGTTTATGCATTTCTGCATAATACCTTCTCCAATAAATGCAGTATTTCGCTGTTATATGCATATGAGAAAGATACTTCTGGTCGAAATAAAGCATTGCACCTGTCAAGAAAGAGTCATACTGGGACACAAAAAACAATTTTTGGGAAAATTCATTAGAGAAAACGCGATGGGAGTATCTATTAGGTCGGTCCATAAGTCTTGCAACAAACTACATTTGATGCTATAGAAATTTTAGGGAGAACTCCTGAAAATCCGCAACATATTTCCTGACGTAGCATCAACCTTTGCAATTTCAGCCAACGGTCCAGCTCGTTGTCTGCTTACTTATTATGGATATTACACCGATTTCGCGAGAGGGCTCTCGATGCCCTTAATTTTTACGAGTACTGCTTGGAATGTTCCGCAAGTCATGCTAGACCAAGGATTGGCCAGAAGATAGGCGAGGGCAAGCTCTCTCAAACCACAGTGCAACGGCGCTTCACTCTGCTCAGCGTTGACTTTTTTATTTGAAAATAACCCACACTCCAACCACCCTGTGACTGACAATCACGATGCTATATCTGACGGCGTTGAAAAGGGATCTGGATAGAGTATCGATCATTTGCTAGAGCGATTCCGATGCGACAAGGAGACAGCACTGTGGCATCTCCAAAGACTTGTGAAGATCCGAAAATGTAGAGTTTGGTCCCCACGTGCCTTGAGCCCGATTCAGCTCCAAACACGATCTGACACCGTTATGTTCAAGTCGACTTACTAGGGATTCTACGATTGACCATCCATCACATTTGCCGAAGATGAGGAGTGGGTACAGTTTACTAACAAATGAACAAGCGCGGTAGTCCAGCTCAAACGCTTCGGGAGATCTTATTGCTTAAGTTCAACCTCGCTCCAAATAGGGCCTTCTCGGATTTTTGGTGGAACACGTAGGCAAATAAGCTCTGGAAAATCCCTACGTAGAGCCACAGCCATCCAGTCCGCAACAGATAACCTATCTCATGCCCATTGTTCAACGCTTTTGATATGATAGAAAACAGGATCAAAGTTGCTTTTGTATGACACCGTTGAAAAACCTCTTGCTAAGAAAATTCAGGAAAATTTCGAGACTCTGGGACGGAGAGTTCTTCCGTATTCACGTTATAGCCCTGACCTCGAGGCAAATAATGCCCTTCTGCTCCCCTCTCCAAACCATCTCCTAGAGAAGAAAGCTCATCCTAACTATGATGATGTCAAAATCGACATCTGATCTTTCTTCGATCAGAATTCAGTAGAGTCCTACAAGGGAGGCATCGAGCAGCTACTAGTGTGTTGGCAATAGGTTGTAGATATTGATGGAGGGTAGCATGCCGGATGAATGGAACAAAAAGATAATGAAAATATTAAATTCAAATTCGGCCAGTTTGTTGCAAGACTTATGGACCGACCTAATATTTTTTTTGGGGACGAGAACCAACTCTCCCATAGCGTAATGCGTCAGTGCGGTGACAAGTGGCGCGCTTCACCACGCGAGCGGTCCGGGATCAAATCCTGGGTCGTGAGTCGCCCGGGCCAACCAAGCCTTCCATCCCTCCGGGGTCGGTTAATTGGTACCAGACTTGTCTGGGAGGATAAAAACACTGACTTGAACATCGGCTGGCCCCCGCAAGTCATTGTATAGGCCACATCGCATTCAAACGCCACTACGAATGTACAAATGGAAGTAGAATGCGTGCCGCATCCCAAAAGGGATTGATCAACGGCAAATGCTTTATCCTTTTTTTTTATCCCGACCCCCCACATA